GCTTCTTCTTCTTCTTCTTCTTCTTCTTCTTCTTCTTCTTCTTCTTCTTCTTCTTCTTCTTCTTCTTCTTCTTCTTCTTCTTCTTCTTCTCCCGTAGAATTTTTGCCTAAGTACCAGAGCATTGGTGTGACACCAGTGACACAATGATGTCACTTCTGGTGCATGCTGGAAGTGACATCACCACATCACTGGAGATGAGGCCTATGCCTCCCTCCGACTCCTGGTAAGTCCTTCCGCCAGCCAGCTGATTGGTGATGGTGGGCTGGAAACCCAAGTGCTTATTTCCAGTTTCCCCTTGTCAGTAGATACTGATTTCAAGCATGAACAGCCTTTCCACACAAAGTTGTTCCCCCCCTCGGGCATGACTAAAACTTTGAATAGGGTTGCCAAGTTGACTTACCTTGAAAGCGGGGGGATTCTGGGATCCGTCGGGAGTCTCCATGTGCATGCGAAGCGCACGCGCGCCACGATGACGTCACCAGAAGTGACATCATTGTGTCGCCCACATTGGGGGTGGGGCACCGTGACTCGAGGGAAAACCATAGAGTTTTCCCTCGATTCACAGAGCGTCCCCCAACAACGTGGCCAGGGACGTGTGCTGGAAGGGGGTGGAGTTCCCCCCGGGGCCCGATCCACAGGCGCCTGGTAAAGGGCCTCCCAGGCAGGAATTTACCCGCCCCCAGTGGGGGCTTGGCAAGCCTAACTTTGAATTACTGGGTTGAGCTGGAACCAGATCTCTAGAGCATGTACCCCAAATGCCTCTGAAGCATTGCAGATTCTGTTTGCAAGGCAGAATTTTACTCTGCTCTGAAAAATGAACATTCCGCCGTCAGTGGCTTTACAAATCCTATGATGTACACCACTAGTTCTGTATTCTGCATCAAGGAAAGCTGGGTTACTTTTTTTTTTTTTACTTGCTATTAATTTGGGGTTAAGGGAGGTAATAAAAACAAAAAAAACGTATGAATTGTATAATGATATTTTTTCGTAACGTAGAATTAAGTTTGTGGGAATGTTCCCAAGTGGATTATAAAGATAGAACAAAAGATGAAGAAGAAGAAGAAGAGAAGAGATTGGATTTATACCCTGCCCTTCACTACCCAAAGGTGTCTCAGAGAGGCTTACAAACTTGTTTCCCTTCCCCTCCCTACAACAGAAACCCTGTGAGGCAGGTGGGGCCGAGAGAGCTCTGACAGTAATTGTTCTTTTTCAAGAACAGCTCTTATCAAAACTACGGCTTGCCCAAGGTCATCCAGCCAGGTGCAAGTGGAGGAGTGGGGAATCAAAGCCGGTTCTCCCAGATTAGAGTCCGCGCACTTAACCACTACACCAAACTGGCTTTATATGTTATAAATCAATCCAATTTGGGCATCGTATAGGTTATCTTTGATAAATTAGTTTAAATGTTATTCCTTCCTTTGTTATGACGGTTTCTATGAACTTGTATTATGGGAATTAAAAGCAAAATAAAATGTTTTAAAATATATTGTAAAAAAGAAAAGCTGGGTTCTTTCTAATCCATTTTTCAAATAAAAAAACCATCTGCATACATTTATTTTGCATAAT